TTTTTTTTTCAGTAGTAAAATTATCATATATTTTTCGATTACTGATGAGATTTTTTTTCGCATATTTATAGTAACAAGTTTACTTATATCATCAAGGAAAAATATACATATATGTATATTTGTCAAAATAAAAATTATGCATAATTCTCACTTCTCTGAGTTTCGTGGAAAACAGAATAATTTTTTCACATCTTCTTCGGAATATCCACAAATAATACAATATAATGTCATTGTCACAAGTGTCAAAAAAATTGGAAAACCAAAAGTTTCTCACGCAAAAAACACACTTAAACATTAAATTAACAGTCAATACAATAATGGGCACTGAAAAAATACTATACAACACAAATATCAACGCTATATATAAACTACTTACTTACGTACTTACCTGCAACCTATGCGTAGGTTATATAAAATGCGATCGTCATAATGTTAATATTATTTTCATTGCTATTTAACTAATTTCTGTAAACCATATAAGTTTTACTGAACGTATCTTGAATTTATCAACTTCTCGTTTTCTTATCTGGCCATCTGTCGAATTTTATAAAATTCAAAAAATAGATCTCATCAATATTTTCCACCCAGCGCCACCTACCAAATTGTATCAGAAACATTATTATTTCCCAAACCCATTTCAAATTTCTTCTATACCGATAACGAGCACTAGCTCCGCCTACCTCTGTTTTACATTTAAAGCGACAAAGAGAGAAGTATTGCGTTTAATAAGGTTCAGAGAAAGATAAAAACAGAGACAACTTTTCCCTATCAAATCGGGTCTCTGGTTGGTACTCTGTGTGTGCAATCGAGACATAAACAAAATACACAGAAAACGATTTGACATCATGATTCACGACAGTTTTGATACTTTATAATTTGAGGTTAATACTACAAACCTAGTAGATCTGTATTATACAGGGTGTTCCAGAATAACGTGTACAACGGAAGACCACAGATTCGTGTACTCAAAATAGGCTGATTTAGATATGGAGTAGGGAGAATGAGCGTCAAGATGCGCAAACTTGTTAATAAAGGAGGTCGCCAGTTTGAAGTCTTAGATACGAGGGGGTACTATATTACATTACCAGGTCAGTTCTAAAATTTCAAATTAGAAACGCACATAACTTTACATTAAATTTTGAAATGAAATATAAACTAACAAATACGTACTTTTGAAATTTTCAATTACATATGAATTATTTTTCATAATTTTCTAGGTATATCTAAATATTTATTATATAATAAAAAAATTAAATTTTCATATATGCACTTCATAAAAAATATATTAAATACTATATTACTCAAGAACAACGGCTAGAGTTGTATCATAACTGCATAGGATATTATTACCTATCATATGTATAAATCTGCACACACTCCGACATTGTGCTTATCATTTACATTGAATGATACTTTAATTATGTTATAACTATCTTGTTTCACAGAAGGTTCAACTGAGAATATTAATCACACCAATAATAATATATTTTTGATACGATAAACTTTAACAGATTGCGGTAGGTACTCAATTTATATGAAATAAAAAAAAATTGTGATGTAGTTCCTAAATATTTTGTATATTAAAATAAAACACTGTATAACGTAACATATTTATTTACTGATGGTTGAAAATAATTATTTAATTTTTGTCTTAATGCAGGGCCTTGAATAATCCGTCCTTAATTTCGTTTCGTAAAGACTGAACGGTAAGTTTCCTGTCTACGTTTCAGTTTAACATTTTTCGTTGCAACTGTAGAAGGAGATATACTGCAAAGATATTTTCATTATTAAAGTTATCCATTAAAGTATGTTTTCATTGCCATAATACTCCTTCTCTTAGCACTACTATCAGTACTAGTGTTACCATTTGATGTATTCTGAACAATGAAAATAAAATTACTGTAAATATTATTTCTTAATTAGGTCGTATCAAGCAATTTGTCAGGGTACGTATTTAACATCCTTAGCATTACTACTATTTTTAAATTACAAATCTTTATTACCTTAAATTCAGTTGTCTTTTCTTTTTACGTTGTACCTACTCGAACTTCAGTAACGTTATAGGTCAAAGATGATTCACTTGATTGTAACATCAGTTTGGTCAAAGCTCCTGTATTAATTGAACTCGATAAAGTACTCTTGCTTAAAATGGAAGAAGATACACCACAAAATAATTTTATGGAAGGTGCAGAGTTGGGTCGTACTATTTTTCTTCCACAAAAGGGGAGAAAATCATCCGCTTTAAAGTGTTCAGAGCAAATTACGTTATTTTTTGTCCATACCCAATTTTCTTTTTCGATAGAAAGAACCTTGTCCTTGTCCAGTAAAGTTTCATTTCTAGGAAAGCTAGAAATAAAAAAATTACATGCTTACAATAAAAATTTAGAATAAAAAGTGGAAATATCTTATTTTTGTGTACAGCTACCTAAATATTTAGAAATGTTTTGTATTGGACATCTTCTGCAATTTGCGCTTCCTTTCACAGTACAAAGCACAAGACATATTTAAAGTTCAATAAAAACGAAATTTACAAACAAAAATATGAATAACCTCAAAAAACACACATGTGAACCTAACGTCAACAACAACTGCGTCACTGCGTGACGTAAAAGCCTTCAAAATGTCTGCGCCCGTAGCGTCCCTAGAAAAGTGGATGCGCACTCGTCGAAGCTCATTCTCCCCTACTCCATATATCTGGATTTAGTCTAATTCACCTATATCCGTAATCGCTTCGTTTGGCCGCTAGATGGCCTCAAAGTTCATGAAGATTTTTTGAATTTTGTAAATAACTCGAATACGTATTATTCGATTTCGATTATTTTTGGGCTGTGGACTTTTGCTTTCAATCTACACATTTTGGTAATATACCGAATGTTTTTTAAAACTTACAACTCCTACAAAATTGATGTATGGTCATAATATCCGTTCATAACTTTTTCCTCTTTCAGGCAATAATGACAACTATTTTTTATTTGATAGGTGATACCATTTGGAAGTTTTTGGGCATCTTGTAGAATTTTGATTAAATGAGCGGTTTGGGTACAAAAAATATTTTTCAAATGTCTACATTATCTTGCCACCATATTACAATACTTAACAGTGCTAGTAGGCACTGATTTTGTAGGTTGACTGTAATTTCAGTTTGATCTTTAAGTCATTGTACGTGCCAATTCTTAATGAGCGTCTAGATGTACCACATGTTACTTCGATATGGATACATAAAATACCTAATTTTAATGAGATAATTAGTAAAAACAATCAAATACAACAAAAAGTGCTGGAAATAAAAGTAACAATGTTGATGTTATTAGATTTAGTACAACTTATTAAAAAACTGTTCAAAATGACCAAAATGTTGTTTCTACAACAAATGTTAATTCGGCGAAGAATGTTAAAGGAAACCCTTTGCAGTTTTTGAGGGCAATTTTTTAAAACATTTATGGCAATTTGGATATGTCCCCCACAACTCTTCTTCAGTGTTAGATGTGGAAGCATACACTGTTGTTTTCAAAGTATCCCGAAGATAATAGTCGCAAGATGTCAAGTCTGGTGAACCAACAGGCCAGTTAACAGGAACATTATCCCCTCTACCGATCCACTGACAAGGGAATCTTTGTTTCAGATATTGCCGGACATTGACAGTGAAATGTGGTGTAGCTCCATCATCTATAAATCACATGTTAGCTCTGAGCAATAACGGCACACCTTCCGATAACTCGGGTAAAGTGTTTTGCAAAAATTCTAAACAAAATTCGCCATTCAATTTATTGGGTAGAATAACAGGGTCAGTAATGCTATCAATGCGTTGTATTTGATTGTTTTTTTTAATTTTTTTGAATAAAATTAGGCACGTTGTAAATAACTCTAATTCGTCGTATATCCATATCGAAAAATGAAGTAACAGGTGGTATATCTCATCGTCGTAAACACTCACTAAAAATTGTCAGGTACAATGAGTTAAAGATCAGACTGAAATTACAGTCAACCTGCAGAATCAGTACCTATTAACACTTTGTGAAGCATTATAATATGGGCGTCACGGTAATGTAGATATTTAAAAAATATTTTTTTGTACCCAAACCGTTCATTTAATAAAAATTCTACAAGAGGCCCAAAAACATCCAAATCGTATCACCTATCAGACAAAAGATAGTTGTCATTATTGCCAGGAGAGAGGAAAAAGTTATGAACGGATATTATCACCATACATTAATTTTGTAAGAGTTGCAGGTTTTAAAATACACTCTGTATAACACCAAAATGAGTAGATTGAAAGCAAAAGTCCACACGTATTCGAGTTATATACAAAATTCAAAAAGTTTTCACTAACTGAGGCCATCTAGCGGGCAAAAGAAGCGATTTGGGATATAGGTGAATTAGACTAAATCTGCCTAATTTGAGTCCACGAACCTGTGGTCTTCCGTTGTACACGTTATTCTGGGACGCCCTGTATATTATTATACAGGGTGTTTCAGGATTAAGTCGACAAACTTTAAGGAGATATTCCTCATAAAAAAATAAGAAAAAAATCAAGTATAATGTTTTTCCAGAGATGCTTCATTTTCGAATTATAGGCCGTTAAAGATTTTTTTAAAAATTCGAATTTTTTAAATAACTTCTAAATGAAGAAGCCTATTTAAGCCAAATTTGGCATGACACATCTTCTTATAAGATACCATTTTTCCATAGAAGTAGAAGTCCCGCGAACAACCAGTGGCGGAGTTATGGGGAGTCAGACTCATTAAATTATAAAAAAAAGTTAATACGGCTCTACTGAAAATAGAAAATGATGCTGTTTTTAGATAGAACAGTTTGTTATTGACAAAAAGTGTACATTCGCTTTTTTTTATATTTCGAAAATGAAGCGTCTCTTGAAAAAAAAATATACTTGATTTTTTTCTTATTGTTTTATGAGGAATATTTCCCTAAAGTTTGTCGACTTAATCCTGAAACACCCTGTATAGTGAGTGTGGCAGCGATAACTGATAATTTTGGCTGCGCGGTTAATTCCAATCAACATTTTCCTTCATAGGGGACGTCTACCTCAACGAAGACAAAATTTCTGACTGGAAAATCGTCCCTTTAGAATTCAAGAAAGAATGGACTAATAACCTCCAAGGATGGACTGACAAAACTTCTAACGATGGACCCGCTCTGTTCTACGCCACTTTGGAGATCTCCGATGAGCCCCAACACACCTTCCTGGACATGAGGAAGCGGACCAAGGGTTTGGTTATCGTAAACGGTTTCCCATTAGGAAAATACCTCATACTGGGACCACAGCAGACGCTGTATCTTCCTGGTCCGTTCCTGAGGAAAGGAACAAACGATATAGTTATTTTCGAGCACTTCAAAGCTGACGACCAAGTCTCCTTCGTCTTGAAGCATATTTGGAACGTGCCAGATACTGCAGAATAATTTTAAATATTCACGTTTCCTATATATTGACAAATAAACGGATATACTGACTTTGCTTGGTAATTTTTCTAAGGTTGCATTTTCACTTTTCATGTTTTGTAGAGAGGCACCCATCAAACGATAAACTTGAACTTTATTTAGATTTAGAATTTAGAATTGCACATTTTCTATACTCTAATAGAGATAATGTTACTATTAATATCTTAGGAATTAGTAAAAATAAATGCTTATAACTTCCTTAGCAGTAGCAGCTTTTATATGTATACAAGGCGTAAGTTTGACTGGAGGGTCATATTTTTACAGAGGCTTCCTTTGACCAACATGTATCATTAGTTTATTTTTTCAAATTTCGTCTTGAAAATTATTTTTCTTATCCTTTTTTTAGTAATGTACTTACTCCGCCGCTAGTAGTAACTTCAAACCACGACGTGCTTTAGTCACAGCGCATGCACAATTGAGAGCTGGGCTGTGCATTGTTGTCAAATTTTACAACGACCGATTCAGAATGATTCAAGCTGACGTCACACGTAAATGTTACCAAAGATATTAAAATTTACTTCCATTTGATCAAAATTACTTTCCGTGTTCTTAGGTTACCGACCGACACGATCTATCAATTCAGAAATGTCCGTGCGTCCTGTGTGCTTGCTGTTGTATTTATTTGTGTTCGCCGATTGTGTTCTTATTTGAATTTATCGTGAATTTTCTAAGCAATCAGTGGATTTCAACGCTAGTCATCTGTTAACTGTTAATTTTGTGCTAAGGAAGTAAATACTTGTAACGATTACTCTTATACAGGGTGTTTCTTAAGTACAGGTCAGAAAGCGTATTCTGTGGCCAAAATAAAGGTTTTTTGTTATATAAATAAATGCGGGGATAGCCATTGTCCAGCGTGTCGACAATTAAAAAAAAATCAGTTTATAATTTTTAATTTCTAACTTGAGATAATTTAATCAAATTCAGTGTGCATATCTACAGAGAGATCGAGAATGATTGACCGGATTTTGAACGTACCCTGTCTCAATTGTTATCAAAACTGATTTCCGTTTGCTAAAATTACTTTTTTTTTTCCGTGCAATTTCATGGTGTTCTGTGGCGATTTCACAATTTGACGTTCTGTTCATTGGCGCACGGATTTTTTGGCTTGAATATTATTTTGTAGATTTTGTTGTTACCTGATATATTTTGCGACATTATAAAACAGTATTTTTCAATACTACAGTTAGAGTAGGTGGATATTATACGTGAGTAATTAATTTATTGCGTATGTTGTTCTCTAACCTAATCGGTTTTTTAATTTAGGTTAACATGGCATTTTCATTAGAACATGATAAATTTCTTCTGGAGGCCTATTTTCGTAGTGGACAAAACAATGGTAATGGTTGGAAATATTCGATGAATTCGTGTCATTTACAATTTCAAGNATTGGCGACCCTGATGTTTAGTCACTTGATTTGATTTTGAAGTTTGTTTTGTAAATGTCATTATATTCGTCAGGGAGACTAGACATCTCCATGATATTCGTAGTAATTTAATATAACTTCAATTTGAATAGAAGTATATTTGAAAACACAAAAAATTTAATATTATTATAATTATGATGAAGCGTTCGTTCACGTCGAAAGCGCAAAAAAGAAATTAATATGCTTAGAAACAACGAAGAACTTTTTAAAATGAAAGTTTTCTTCTACTTTCACTCACAAAAAGGCCCAAGAACAGTGGTCAGATATTGCTGAAACTTTAAATGGTTTAATTAATGTTGTCGCGGATGGTTTACAATTTCTGCAGCTTGCAAATTATTCATTATATTTAGAATTAATAATAAATTATTTGGATCCATTACAAATTTCAAATGATTACGCACCTTCGAACAGCGAATGAATGAAGTGACAATTCGCGCATGAGCATGAGATGACATTTGGATTCAAACTATTCGGAGAAAACGCCAATTCCCCCGACAAAACCCTGTGGAATTATTTCTCTTGATATCTAGAGAAAATATTCCACAAGAGAATTTCAAAAATCACATTATCTGTGTGTCAAGAGAAAATGACGTAATTTTCTCTAATGAACTAATTCTCCCATTTTCAAAAATCAAGCCCCTGATCATGAATCCGGTGTGAGAATTGAGCTATCACATCACAGGAATTTCCTAACCTCAAAAAACAGGGCAAAAATAGCAAAAATTCACGAAAAAGTGCTTGGAAAATCCAAAATAAAATTTTTTTCTATATTCAAATGTTCATTTATATGGGTAAGATCCCGAACGTGAATCAAAATTGGTCAAAATTCAAAATTGATGGTTCTTTTTTTAAACTCGAAAAAAACAGGTCAATTAAGATCAGATATCACGAATTTTAAAAAAATAACATCAGATTCGCGTAAATTTTGGTATACCTATGTGGGTTTAGGTCAATCCTAGGTCAATTTTGCAAAATTCAAAATGGCGGATCCAAGATGGCCGACCAAATTTTCAAAAAATAACCCATTCGCTAAATTCGGTATACGGGGGTTTTCGGGGTCGCTGATCACGGTCTCGAGGGAAAGTCGGCCTGTGGTGGATAATCACCATCCTGCGTTTGTTATACAGGTTCAAACATGCATAAGTAGCCCATTAAAATTTCCTACTAATTGCTACAATAAGGCTTATAATTTTAAAAGAGCGAATTTTTTGGACCCTTATAATGAACTTCCAGTGGCGTAGAAATTATATTAAAAATAGTGCTTATCAGAACCCCTTACCTATGATTGATCTATTTTCACAATAATTTCTAAAATTGATAGAGCGTCTTATTCGCACAGTAAATATAAATAAAAGAAATCGCTTTCATAGTTTAAGAAAAAATAAGGAAAAACCAAAAAAAATGTTTTTTTCAAGATTTTATATCTCTAAAAAGAAGCCTTTGGAAGAAAAAGTGTATACCACAAAATAACATTATTTTGACGAGATCTATCGATGGTTAAAGTACCAATCATAAAAAGTGAATCACCCTGTATACAGGGTGTTGCAAAATGTTGTTCAATGAATTCTAGAGCAGATTCTACATCCAAAAATACGAAAAGAAATTCCTATAAACGTAGGTCCACAAATGCTTCGTTTTCGAAATAGAGGATGTCAAAAAATATAAACGTTTTTAATTGACAATTTCTAAAGTTTTCATTGGAAATCGTTTAAATTTGGGTCAATACATTTATGATAGGTGGGTTATAATTTGGTATAATCGATTGGATTTCAGACTCATCAGGCGTGTAGATATGTAGGAGTGTTTATTGATTTTTGACCAGAAAATCTACGCCACTGGTTTTTCTATTGGTTTTTAGTTTTAACCCTTGCTCATTTGTCATTTAGCCAGCGGCTTTCAAGCTATTGACGATTTTTTAAAATCATGCTAATCTATGAAACCATTACCTACTAAAAAACCATAGTTGGGGACTGTCACTGAAAAATAACATGCGCTGTCACTATGGAGAAATAAATGACCCAATGAAAAATGTAGAAATTATCACATGTTAATTTTTTTATTTCGTAAACGTAGCAATTGCGGACCTACGTTAATAGGATTTTTTTTCGTATTTATGTATGTAGAATCTGCTCTAGAATTCTCTGAACAATATTTTGCAACACCCTGTATATTGTTGGAAACAGGAAGTAGCAGAGATTCCGAAAATCGAATAATATACAGGGTGTTTAATTTAAAAAGGTTGAATATTATGAGAAATATACAGTAACAAAAATTAAAACTCTTAGGACCGATCTAAGTGTGTTTACTTTATCTTTCTGTTTATTTATTAAAACCGAGCTTGGTCCATGCCTTTCTCAAAGCCCATCGAAAAAGTACTTCTTCAATAAACGCTGAGCTGAACAGACGTCTCTAGTTTTATTTATTAGCCCTAATTTCCAACACGGAAAGATTCCTTACAATTTTATTTGAACTATTTTTGTCTAACTCAAAAATTAAAAAAGTTAAAGGGGTAAAATGTATGAATAATCCTGTGCTACTTTTTATTTCACAGTATTTCCTCGACTCCAGCCACTTAATTTGTTCTTTTTATGCTGTTTTGTGTTTCCATACATGCCTCGTTAAGTGTTATTTGAAAGGTTTATGTTTTATATTTATTTAAAAAATTGCATAGATAAATGTTTTTTTAATCTTTGAATAAACACAGGATCTTAAATGTAGCGGTACCTTTTCATCCGGTATTGCACAGAATCGGTACTTTTTAAGAGAAACAAGCCTACATTTCTAATGGCTTGTTTACACGGGAACAGTCAACTAAATTTGTGGTATGTGGTAAGTAACAAGTTATGAAGCAAGTAAAAATTTAGTACACTGGAATAGAATTTATTCTATTTTTTCGTGCAAGTTGACAACTTGCACCGAACTTTTCCCTCCTGCTGATTCACTTTCGCTCCCAAAGTCGTTTAGGTCCATTTTTCTCTTCATATATTTCTTCTAATACAGAGAGATCGAGAATGATTGACCGGATTCTGAACGTACCCTGTCTCAATTGCTATCAAAACTGATTTCCGTTTGCTAAAATTACTTTTTTTTCCGTGCAATTTCATGGTGTTCTGTGGCGATTTCACAATTTGACGTTCTGTTCATTGGCGCACGGATTTTTTGGCTTGAATATTCTTTTGTAGATTTTGTTGTTACCTGATACATTTTGCGACATTATAAAACAGTATTTTTCAATACTACAGTTAGAGTAGGTGGATATTATACGTGAGTAATTAATTTATTGCGTATGTTGTTCTCTAACCTAATCGGTTTTTTAATTTAGGTTAACATGGCATTTTCATTAGAACATGATAAATTTCTTCTGGAGGCCTATTTTCGTAGTGGACAAAACAATGGTAATGGTTAGAAATATTCGATGAATTTGTGTCATTTACAATTTCAAGAACAATTTCCAAATGATGAAATTGATTATGAAATTTTTTCGAGACACGTGAAGAGATTAGTGGAACGCTTCCATAACACTGGAAGTGTTTGTAGAGGAAAATCTCCAGGCAGAAAGTCTATTCTTACAGAGGAAGTCTTGGAAGATGTT